CCAAGATAAACTGTAACGACCTCTTTTTATTGGATTTTAACACTTCTGATATTTTAAGTGATCATTCATATTTTCTGTTTAGGGTAATAATACAATTCCACATTAGTAAGTGGGTCACATGACATGGAGGCTATTGAGAAAAATTACTTTTCATGTTCACATAAAATATCAGAGGCACTAAAATCTATAAAAAGACGTGTGTCCTGTTTGTTCAGGGGGATAAAACAATTCAGCATTTGTTTGGGGTCAGTGACTCACATGAGACTGAAGCTGCTAAAAACAATTCAGTCTTATTCAAACAGGAATTTATTGACGTTGCCTAAATGAAGTCTTTCAAACAACCAAAGTGAAACTAGCTTCACCACTTTTCGTGTAAACTTACTCGTTCCTCTTTGTCACAACTGTTTTGAAACATTCTATAATCTTAAAGTTATTTCAGTGATCGTGATTATTATCATGAGGTGTGCATTCTTTTCCTCACACACAACCTACACACTTCCCTCGTGACCTGCCGGAATGTCACAGTATATCTGTCAGCGCCGTCTCTTCCCGTGTCGCAGCCTCTCAGCGACTCGTTCTCTGATGAAGCCGACATCAAAGCTGGTCAGATCGCTCCTTTTCTGACGCAGCCTTATTAGCTCGTTTTTTTTCTTTTAACACATTTGCAAGTGCACTGGCTGATGGGAAAATGTTGTGGGTGTAATGAAAATCAAGGCCCACGGGGATATTTGCATACGAATATATTTCTAGTTCACTGGTGGAAAGTGTACAGGGAAATTATACTCAGCTGAAATATTCAATTATTCAAGTAGAAGTGAAATCACATGTTTAAAAATGTACAGTCTGACATGAAAGTATAAGTCGGCGAGGTCTTTAGTGTCACTTGAGTCGTATTCAGATATGAACTAAGTAAAATTGGGTCCAGACGTTTTACAGAGTTTGTCTTTTACGCGTGGAGAAGCAGCAGGAGATTGTCCGATAGTCTTCCGGACATTTTGCTGCTGTGTTCTCACATGGGACGAGTTCCAGGACAATATCCGGAGCAGCTGACTCGCATACAGCCGCTGTGGAAAATTTCAGGAAAAAGTCCAGACCTCAGTGCAGATCTGAAAGCAGATTATCTGAGCCCATCACACAAGTGCACGTTGATAAATCAGTGCTCTTCAGAACACAGATTTGTTTTTATACACAGCTAAAGCACATAAACCTGATTGAACCCAACGCCAGCAGCTAAATGTAAGAGTCTTCTTGGCCTGAGTGTTGACTCTGTTTCAATTCAGGCCGAGTCCACCTCATTTATTAGCGTACTAGACTTTTCTGAGCCAAATGTTTAGACAATGATGTGAAACACAAAAGAAGAACTGTGCTGTTTAGAATAAATTGTAGGTGAGTCGTCCAAAAAAGAGGAATCAGAATTGCAGGGATGCAGAGTTTGAGGTCGGGCTGGACGATATGACTTCAAATCAATATCACCTTTATTCAAAACTTTTACCTCCATGAATAAACGATTATTTTACGCCTCCTGCAGGATCGTGATCTTTTATTACTTCTTGATTTGTTGGTTTTTATTAATAAAACGTTCCTGCAGAAGTTTCTCACACGGTTGTACTTGTAAAGCCGCTGTGAGTATAAACATCTTGAATCTTGTGCCGTGGCTTTAGATTAAATGTTAGAGCTTTCTGGTGTTGACATGATCTCCACTAAGTGAACTTGCATTTCTTATATAGTGTATATCTTTCATAGTGTGTTTATATAGAACGCATACAGAGCTGTCAGTGGAACACATCTGTCTGCATAGGGTGCCTGTAAATACCCTTTACTTTATTTCAGATCTCAGCAGATGGTTCTTTCCCTCCGACACACGTGGAATAAACAAACGCAAAGATTCTGCTTTTGTGTTTTCCTGCAGAGAAAAACCTTGAATCTGTCTTGTTCTTATCTCTATTCACCGTCCCACGTCTCCATCCGTCTGTTCTGCACCAACTGGAGACCTGGACACGCAAGTCCACGCCAAGCCTGTGCTGTGTTACACTATCCAGTCAAGACGTGTAATATACACACACACACACACACACACACACACGCTCCCTGCAAGATGGGTACCCAGTCTGTGCCCATTCCTGCAAACACCGGAACACATCATGACAGTATTTACACACACACATCCCCTTGTTCTGTTCATCATATTCAATGGGTCCTCAGCATTTTCCACTGGGTTCCAGCCAACAACCTGCTCCCTACCTGGAAGTGGCTCTGAACCTAAACACAGAGACTCTTTTATGCGCTCAGGTGTCTCAAATGTCGCCGTGTTCTCAGGAAACAAAGTACAGTCTCTCTGGGAAGCTTTTGATCTTCTTCAGGTCTGAGTTTTCTTTGTGGATCAGTGCACCTGCAGGTTGATGAGCGACGGCGAAGCCTCTTTGTGCAACATTGTTTTCTGGGGTTTTCATACTGGCACGTTTGAAAAGAGCAAGACGGGATTTGACTGGGTGCAAAGATTACAGAGCTGTTTTTAACTCAATCGTCATATAGGCCAACTGTCATGCATATGTCACCATGTATGAGCGAATGTATCAGAGTATTCAAACTAAACAATACTGTGAGAGAAGCGACCAAACATTTAGCAGCAGTCTGTCCACTGGACTGTGGCAAAACCAGAAGCCTCCATGAAACTGGTGAGATATCGAACAAGCTAATGACCCAGGATGTTGAAAACGTAGCAGAGTTAATCACATTTCTGAAATGCATTACTGTCGAGCACTAGAAACTATCATTGTCCACAAAAATATCCCTGCTGACCACTGAAACTCACAACTTTTCCCTGATCCGATCCCTCATGAGCTGATTTCATTCTGATAGAAGGTGCAGGAAAGCTTGTTGTTATGATTAAAAAGCTCTGTTCTCTAACACCAAATCCCCACATCGATGTAAAACAAGCTACAGGATCATTCAAACACTCGTTCTCTTTGAAGAGCCAGTTGATGCATCACAGACTTTTGCACAAATCTGTGCTGTTAAAGGATCAAACTGAACTGAGGTCGATCATTAGAACCAGATTGGTATCTGCCCCCTGGCGGATTGTCAGGGCTACCTGTCGATACACCAGAACGACTGTGGGATCAATGGTGGAGACACACACGCACACTCACTCACACACACATAAACCTGTGCTGATAGCGATGTGTGTGATATTTAAACTCTTATTTACTTTGTTTACAAAAACGTGTTTTAATCAAACTGCCTGTTCGTTTAGTCAACAGCAGTAATTTAGAAAAGCTCTCTGGTTAATCTGGTTATCGAGTTAATCACAGCAAATTGAATTTGTAAATTACCTGAGAATCACTGTAAACACAAATAACGCTGCTGTTCTTCTTCTGTTAAATAACAGTGCAGCTGTCTACACTGTCGGAGATCTGGGTGAATCTCTCTGACTGTGCGTTAGCTTGGTTACACACTTGTTCTTTGAGTGGTTTGAAAGGTTTCCCTTTGCCGAACACTGGGAAACATTATTCAACATCACGAATAACAATTACTAAGATTGATTTCTTAAATCTAACTGAGGGAGAAAAAAAGGCAGCAAGATAAAAAACTGCACAAATTTGGGAGCGAATCTTGACTCTGACTTAAACTTTAATGCTCATTTTAACAAGCTCATTAAAACATCTTCCTTTCAACTCAGGATGATTCGAAAGTTCAACCGTCTCTAACTCAAGAAAGATGCTGAGATACTATTTCCCACTTTTACTAGAAGTTTGCAAATCCATTCTTACTGGATACCTGAATTGTCAATAAGGAAATTCCAGCTCATCGAGCCAGAGTCCCACTAAAACAAAGAAAATCAATCACAGTATATACCTGTATGTGTCCAAAGTTGTTTTACTTGTTTATAAAGTGTTAAATGACCTCATTCCACCTCCTACACCAGAGATCTTTCATTTTATTTTCCTGTGAGATCACTAAGGTCATCCACAGCTTATCAAAATGATGCCATCTGCTGTGTCCCCAAACTGTGGACATCACCGTCTCTGGATATCATTATAAAAAGCTTGATGGGTGATTTTAAAAAGAAACTAAAGACTTATCTTTCTAATCTGGCTTTTTATTTTATTCCCTTTAGCTACTGATTTTCATTTATTCATTTAAAATTGATCTTGTATGAAATGTGCTGGATGTATTTTCTCTAAACATCAGTGGATGAGTGGAATATTCCATCTTTACTCTGAAAACACTGATCACAAACTACAAACGTCAGACAAAATATTACACACACACACACACACACACACACACACACACACAC